GAAACCTGGTAATGCGAGGAATTGGCGCGTTTGAATTGAGGCGCCGTGCGGCGAGAAGGTGGGCAAAAAAATCGAGGATCGGACAGAGCGCGGCTCCAACAGAATACTCATAACAACCTGCCGTAAACAGACCATTACTCGGCGTGCTGATCACTTTGATCCTAATATTTTCTCAGGGCCGCGTCGCAAACATAATGATGACGCGAGGACGTGAAACTCCGCGCCCATCTCTCGAACACCTAATGACAATAATCAAGCAGCGGGATACGAGACACCATTTCAAGAGTTGGTTGTTGTACAGGTTTCCCCAAAAAAATCGACCCCTCTAGCGGACCGCAGTTGTGTAGGATCTTCACGATTTAGTGATCTAACGAAAGTTCTCGGAAAGGCGAGAAACCAGGCGCTTTTCGTTTTTATAAATAGACGTTTCGATTCATTTATTTTTATTTAGGACCATAATCTAGGAAAAATTTTATTTGAAGAAATTTTAGGCAAGATCCGTAAGTAAATTGCTTGCTCAAGCTAACAGGGCTATGATGATTTTACGCTTCTTTGAAAAATTGTTTACTATCGAGGGCCGGCTAAAAAATTTTGTAAAACAAAAAAACCCTTGTTTTCTCGCTTTCGAGGGCTTTCAAATGGTGTAAAAATCATTCAGACCCGGCCTTTCTCCGGGCCGCTAGAGTGGGGTCGATTTTTTTGCACAACCTGTATTCCGGGAAGGCACCTTGTACCGTTTAGTGAAATTTTTCCCGCATTTTCCCATCCATGAAGTGATGCATTTCAAGGATAACGACGATGGGAAGGGGAAGGTTGTAAATAACACAATTTACATCTGCGTCTGGGATATCACACCGGTGGATCGGCAGAAGTGGGAATAATAGCCTTCAACTCTTAACGGCGAACGTTCGTTCCGCCGTGTTTCCGTTTCGCCGAGTTATGTTAGTTTTAGTTTCTGGATCGTCAACAATAACTATCCGTTCGATGAAAAAATGGACCGGGAACTGTCGCTGGCTATTGAGATTGATCTCCGGAAGGAGACGGCGTCATTGGGGTTCCGCTACAGGGTAAATGACGCATGAGATGAGAATTCGAGGCATTCTTTGAGCGTTTTGTTAGGCGAGGGGTCAGAAATTCTCAAAATTGGCCCTTTCAGAGCGAATTTTATCGAAAACCGTAGGGTTCAGCAGTTCTTAAAAGATGGGATCGGTTCCGTCTTTCGCTCTATCGAACAGCTATGTTACATCGAAAAATTCCAAGGTCACCACCTAAAAACCACTCCTTTTTAGCAAAAATCCATAAAAAGTTAGTGATCTTGAAAACTCGACATTTTGGCGCCTTTCATAGTCCATGGGATCTGGCGAAAACCAAAGTCAAACCCTGGCGAACCTTTTGAAGATTTTAATAATTTAAATGCGTTGCTACGCAAAAAAATGCCTAATCAATCCCTTCTCATAGCAGTTTTACGTTTCCAAGAATATTTTTCTCTGATTTTGGATCTTTTTTTTGCATCGGCGTCGGGGTTTTTGTCGGGGAAAATTAGCTTACACTTAGAAAAATGCCGGCATTTCGAATTGCGATATTGTGAATAGTCTGCGTTATGAATTTCGACATTAGGATGTTCGACACAACCCGTTCTATAGAGTGTCGACTACCCGTTCATCACAAAACGGCTTCCGAAGCCAGTCAATGGGAAGCACACGCTGTGCTTTAATTTGGGGATCAGAACGTTTGTGGCTTTTTCACGGTGGTGTCGCACACCAAAACCAATTCTAGAGATAAGACGGGAGGTACTTACTTCATCGCCGATGGTATTTTCACGAGCCGAGTGGGCCAATCGGATTGACCTTGTGAATTTAGCTATTTTAGATCCGAATATCTGAGGGTCTTGCCGATGCAAAGGCCGGGTTTCTGTCGGTAAGGGATTTAGTTTTGATAAAGAATTCGGTCCGCCCTAGTTTAAAGGCAAATTTGGGCCCAATTATACAAAAGCTGGGATCGCCTACAGAGTGGTAAGAGGGTCATGATTAGCTTGGAAGCCGACGGGGTTTAGAATGGAGAACGAATATTTTGGTTTGCGGACGGCACGCCGATTGGGTATCAGTAAGTATTTATGTCTTTATTGCTATCGTTCTCTCTCTCGTTCGCTCTCTCTGCCAGACTTAACTCTTTTCAGGTCCAGCTTCCACTCCCAAGTCGAAAAGATGGATCTAAAGGAAGAACAGAACCGGCAACAACACCGACGTCTTCGCTACGAGAACGACAGGGAACCAGAAGATGAAAATGACATTTTAGACATTGTTCCATTGAATAGCATCAAATATCCATAAAGCTCGTTCGTGTGCGCCTTTGAAACACGCCCCACATATCAAAATCGCAACCGCAGGCGATCAGCATTTTTTTAATAAAACGGCTGTCGCGGTGATGATCGAATATGCATTTCAATAACACAAAATGATTCGAAAAAAATAGTCTCATTCCGACGCTATGCTGCTTCCCCTCTGCATCTTTGTTCCTCTCGTGTCTTCTGGGAACACCTGGGATCGGTGTAACATTAAATTTGGCAAAGATATTTTAATAAGTCAAGATCAGAATCGCCCGTTCTTCGAGGGACCATTTTTCAAATTGCCCGGTGGATTCACAACGGGAGACGAGCTTGAAATCTTCTTTTTTACCAATGCTCCGAAGTAAGGTGTCGTTGTTGTCCACCTGGCTGTAAAAAACCCATAAACCCGGCAAAATCCTCTATAGATTTGAGCTTCGGATTGCCGAGGAGCCGTACGCGGATGGAAAATGTCCTGTCCACCTGTTGGTGACGATACCCGTTGGTGAGAGGCCAAAAATGCGGTTGAGCCATCGGAATGCACACGATGTATGGTAATAAACGAATTATTAACGTTCAACAAGTTATCTAGTCTCGCTATCTAATTTCTAATTTGATAATATTAATTTAGACATCCTGGGCGAAGGGTATCGTCAAACAGATTCCAAGTTTTTCTGCTGAACGGGCTTGTCCTTGCTATGTGGGCAAAGTCTCGATTTTGTAAGTTTTTGTTGCACTATTGCGTATAAGCCAGTTAAATTTTAAACTTTAGACTATAAAGAAACAGAAACATTAACCATCCACAGAAACCGTTAATTACAGCAAAATGATGAACGGGCGATTCCAAGTAAAGTCTGTTCTTTTTGAAGGCCAAGTCATTTACCCGGCACATCGGGACCTCCTTTCGGGCACGTACGTGGTGGTAAGTAAGCTTAGAACGGCAAGGTCGGCTTTTTAGATCACAGACGCATCGATCGTGGCTGTAAAGCACCATCAAGCATTTGTAAGTATCCCCTCGAAAACCTTAACTTCTAAAGGGTCGTGCCGATAATCTGATGATGAGTCGCGGCTGGAACACGCCAATGCCTCCTGAAGGATATTTGATAGGGAAAATCAAGCAGTGGGATCGTAGACAGCCTTTTAAAAGTAATGATCATCTTAGGTTTTATTTACCTTAACCAGCAAGACTTATTATAATGTGCTTTTAGTAAATTTCTTCCCAAACTTTCCTCTGCATCGAGTGATGCAATTCAACCACAACAACGACCGCACCCACCAGACGATAGCAATTTGTCTTTGGGATATAACACCGCTTGACGGGGAAAGGTATCGATTTCAAAATTTTGGCTTACCAACACATATTATGTTAATTAGCTTCTGGATCGTCAATAACAACTATCCATTCGACGAGAAACTGGATCGTGAATTATCGATAACTTTCGAGATTGATCTCAGGGAAAATACAGCGGCTATGGGTTTCCGTCACAGGGTAAATGCCATTTTTAAGATCCTCTAAATTTTGTTTAACAAAATTCTTGTCCTACCCTGATTTCGAATTTCAATCGGTTCCCCGACACTCGGTTCCCCGACACTCGGTTCCCCGACAATCGGTTCCCCGACAATCGGTTCCCCGACAAATCAGTTCCCCGACAATCAGTTCCCCGACAATTGGGGAATGATACCACCATTATAATTACGTTAAAATAGCACCTTATAATTGTCGGGGAACTGATTTGTCGGGGCAGGGTCGGGAACCGATCGGGGAGCCGACGTCGAGAACTGAACTGATACCCTGATTTCCTTAGAGCCTTGACTATCCATTTATCACCAAACGACTGCCCGACCCGAAAAATGGAAAGCACGAGCTGTGCTTTAATTTTGGTGCTGGAAGGTATGAACCATTGGGAAATACTTGAATGCTGTAATTCAGAGATGGACTTGGGGCAACCTACTTCATGGCCGATGGGATATTCGGCCGGGTATACTAATTTTAAGTTTAGGCTACTGATGTTTTTTAGAAGCGGTTCTACGAGCAGCACGTCCAGGCGAAGGCCGCCTGGCTGTCGGTATTAATTTTTTAAACTGATAATGACGGCGTTTTAGTTCAGAGGAAAATTTGGGCGCGACGGCACTAGGGTTGGGGTCTCTTGGAAAAACCCTGGTGTAAGGTTACACTCTTTGCGAACTAAATTTTGCTTAAGAACTCGGAAAGGATGTTTTGGTTCACGGACAATACAGCGATACTGTATCAGTTGGTTTCTCTCCTGGTCTCCATCTCTCTCTCTCTCTCTCTCTCTCTCTCTCTCTCTCGCCCTCTCTCTTTCTCTCCCCACTCGCTCTCTCCGTCAAAATCTCCTTTTACAGATCAAAGTTTCATTCCTACGTTGAAAAGTTGGATCAACATCAGGAAGGAAGACGACGTCTTCGCTATAAGACCGATAAAGACCAAGAAGACAATGAAAATTTAGAAATTATCACTTTGAATCGATGATAAAATTCATTAAATTGCATAATGATCATGGATCCGGCGACAAGTTGTCCTTCCTATTTTAAAATTGAAAAACACGATCAAATCCGAATATAACAAAACGCAATAAAACCCGTGCTCCTCATAAATTCAGGCCTCCCACCGAACAGAAGCTTAAAAAGGTTCCTGAAAGCCCCATTTTTTGAAGTTATGCTGTTTCTGCTCCTTCTGGGCTTCTTCTGCGGCATATGGTCTCGAAATACAAGGGATCCGCGTAATAAAACGCAAAGAATATCTATATAAATGCAAATTTTAGATGGTGGCAAGCCGCTATTTGCCGGCCCGTTCCTCGAAATTCCTCAAGGATTCAAAAACGGCGAACATTTGGATATTTTCTTTTTTACAAAGAGTCCAATGTAAGAAAGTTTGATTTGTCTCCTCGTCAGAAAAATTATTTAAACCGTCAAAAATTAATCTAAAAATTGTGTCAGGTTCGAGATGAGACTAGCAGAAAAGCCGTACGATGGCTACGGATTTTCGACGGCGCTGCTGATCCAGATTGTGGGCGAGGGAAGCGACTTTTGGATGCATTTGAATCGTAGAAAAGGAGCTGCTGTAGGTTGCTCGCTCCTTAAGCTTTAAAATCGCAACCCAACCAAGTTTTAATATCCATGACTTTGATTAATTCAGAACCACTGGCCGGAGAGTGACATCCGAAAAATGGCACGCTTTGACTGGGATTCGGGCTGTGGATGCTATGCGGGGAAAATTGGGCTATAGTGAGTTTTGCAGACCGTAGTAACAGAAATCATAGCATCACGGGTAAGTGCCAATAATTAACGCTTTTTCTAGCAAAAACAGCGCCGGGCAGTTCCGGATCACATCTACCTTCCAGCAAAGTGACATCAACTACCCAGCGCATGAGGAAGAGCTCATTAAAACCTACGTTGTGGTAAGTAAACCTGAAACAATATAAAATATGTTTTAGATAACCCATCCGGCGATCGTGGCTATAACTCATCAATCAGTGAAGGTAAAAATGTTTTTTTTAATAGACTTAAAGGGAAATTAAAATTACCGCCTTATCTTTGATATAAAAAGTATAAACCTACATTAGCAAGTAACATAAATATGCCAATTACGATCACCAGTAACAATATTACCAAAATTGATGTACCAAATTAAGGGCCGAATCACGAGTCTGATGATGACGCGCGGGAAGGATACCCCAAACCCATCCGACCAATACATGATCGAGAAGATTCGCAAATGGGGCCAAGGACGTGCTTTTCAAAGTAACTATGCCTATAACCTAATGAACAATATGAATTGGTCTTTAAAGTACCACTCATTTAGTGCACTTGGTCCCGCATTTCCCACTCTACGATGCGATGCATTTTAATCAAGGCGATGGCGATCATGGGCCTGTTGAGAACAAGACCATCGAGATCTGCCTATGGGATATCACACCGCAGGATGGAAAAAGATAAGTTTTGCGGGAAATTAGAAGCAACTCTCGTTTTTTAGCTTCTGGATCACGAACAACGGTTACCCGTTCGATCAGCGTCTCGATCGAGACCTTGCGTTTACCTTCGAGTTTGACGTCAAGCAACAGACGGCAATATGGGGATTCCGGGAAAAGGTATAGAATTTAAGCCTGATCAGTCTACGGCTGGCAATGCTGCGGATTAGCTATAATCACCGCTTTTTCCACAGTTTAATCAAAGATTTAGCCTTACAATTAGCCCTAGGTTTCGGCCTAGCCCAGGCTTAAGTCTGGCCTAAATCGAAGCCAGGATTTAGGCTTGAGCGTGAGCTTAACCCTAAACCTAAGCTTCTCCCTATCCTCAGGCTCGCTTAATTTCTTTATTTAATTTGACAATCAAATCGACTGCTTTCAGGGTATTGACTACGCCATGGTGACCAAGCGGCTGCCCAGCACGCATGAGGGTACCCATGACCTGTGCTTCCGGATGGGAATTCGCAGGTTTAATCAATTCTGAAAAACCAGCAATCCATTTTTGAGATACGGTCAAACGGGGATCGTCTGGAAAGCCGATGAGATTTTTGAGGAGGCGAGGCACTGAATAGATGCATTTTCTCTTTCTTTGATTGAGTTGACTGTCTAATTTCCAGGAGATTGTCCCTCACGGCAACAAGGGCCAAAAAGCCGAATGGTTGTCGGTATTTTTCTTACGCGCAACTCAACAAGCATTTTTAGTTCCAAGGCAAATTTGGGAGCGGCCAGACGAAAGCATGCGTCTCCTATCTAGTTCCCGGCATGATTTTTGTAGGAATTTAGTGAAAACGGCTAAAGCATGCGGATTTAGGGGACGAATCGAAAATGGTGGTATTCAGATGGTCTTCCGGATGAATTTCGGTAATTTATTACACTACCAGCGCCCAAAACCCGCTTCGCGGGCCTTGGGCGCTGGAATGCGGCCATTGCATGAGAAATTGACTTTTCAATAACTTGGGTCCTTCGGACCCCCCCCCCCCCAACCGAGCACTAACCTAGCCTTCAGGGACCCCCAGAAAATGAATAAAACCGGCTTTAACTTTGTGAACTTGTGTTTTATCGGAATTCTGAGAACGCCATCGGAAACAGGAGGGTCGATTCCCCCCGAGTGACCAGAAGTGGGGCGTTTTGGACACGGGAAGGCCTTCAAATCGGGCCTCGAAATTGACATCCACACACACACATACAAAGATACACACCAAAATTATATAAGGTAGGATTACCCTCTATTAGGTCTCAACCATTGATGTCTGTAGACGGCCTATAATTATTTTTAAGGCTATGAATAGTAAAGTATCTATCCAGTTATTATTAAAGTATCTTTTAAAGTAACTAATTATGCCCATTTTCAGGAAGCTTTGTGAAAATTTCGTGAATGAGTTGAAAGAGCCGCTGGCTTGGAGACGGCTGCGCTATTCGATGGATGGCGAGCAGCAGCAGGATAGAAATCTTGAGATTGATATTTTGAGCCCAAAATAAATAAAAGTTTACCGAGTATACAAATCACGCAAAAAAACGTGTGCTCGTAAAAATAAAAAGCTTACTGTCACCCCAAAAAATTGGCATTTTTTACTATGCTTTTTCGATTACTTTTTGGCAAACCTACGCGATAATAAAAACAATATAGCTTTTTCTGTTATCAATATTCGCTATGCGAGGAAGATTTTATGGGTTTTTTTAATTTCCCACCCCGTCCCGGCATTTCTGGCCTGATGCTACCGGTGTTTTTCCTATTTTTCGGCGCCTTTCCTGGATTTTTAGAATGTGGAAATACGGTCGATCGTTGTAAGATTACTGAATCAAAATACTTACATACTAAGACTAAGAATAACGTACGACCCCTCTTTTAGGGGAAAATTTCAAACTCAACGCGGGTCCCTATTTGCATATGCGACAAAAGTTCAAGCATGGCGATAGGCTGGAAATATTTTTCTTCAGCCCCTTACAAGAGTTCGAAGATTTTAAGGCTTGATTTGCATCGTCCTAGACCTGTGGTAATGCTGAAAGAATCGCCAAAGGCCATTGAAGCTTCTGATGACCCGGTTCCGATCGCGATCCACTTGAACGCTGACCAAAAGACGATCCGTTTTGCGAGGAGGGAGGCTTGGGTACATTTGGGAATCGGTCCTAAAGGGACGGCGACAGCAACAATGTTCAGAGGCTGAGCTCGGAATCAAATACATACACGTTTAGGGTCAGTTCAGCGACGTGGAAACGGGACCAGCGCGAAAACGCACCCACTACGAGCGGTACTGCAGATGCTACACCGGGGTTATCAAGATGGAGTATGCTTTCTCAAATTTTGCAGCGGAATACAGCTTTAAATAACGAATTCTTCTTTCCTAAAGTTTGCTTTAGCTGGCGAGACAAAGAGGGCTGGTATATTACATCGGATTGGGTGGACCGAGACCCGGGGAGACCCGAACTAATGTATGAAGCTCCTCAAAAAGCGGTGATGGAGTGGTTTGTGATGATGCAAAATGATGGGATATTGGCCTATGTTCATACTACGGTAATTCTTTAAAGGTATCACACTTAAAGTAAACAATTTTAGCGAGGGAAGCGCTTCTCCCGGATGCAATCTCGCGGCGAAGCGGCCCCAAATTATGCGTACCCGGACTGGTATCGCGACCATATCCATTCAAAGCAAGAGCACCCCACTTTTCAACATATGGAACGATTAAAAATTGCATATATTCATGAACCTAGTGGACTACTCCCCGTGGTTTTACATTGGCAACAAGACGCTTTTTAACTATCCGGAAAAAATTCGTAACATGACGTTCGCGATTTGCGTGAAGGATGTGACGACGCGGAAGGATATGGAGTGGAGCCTTACTCAGACAATAATTGTGTTAATCAAAAAAACATTTTCAGTAGTTTTTGGATTGTTAACAATGGTCCGCCCTTTAATCAACGCCAAGATCGCGAGTTCGACATTGGATTTGAGATAAATTTGCCGCAACGAACCCTAACGATGGGTTATAGACAAAATGTAAGCGTTAGTTTTATACATCATACTTTATACGATTAAAATTAAATTCATACAGCTAATTTCAGCGAATTCAATATTGTTCTGGACAAAAAAAAATAGATTTTCAGGGCATCGATTATCCACTTTTCACGAAGCGGCTAAAACCGAAGGACAAGAAAACGAAAAAGCACACCGTTTGCTTCAATTTTGGGATCAGAAAGTAGGCAAATTTCTGGTTGCAAGCGTGATGTTTAAGACGTCTTGACGGTAGATTCTCATGGTTTGGGACCCACGACCTTGAAACGCATGGCCAATACATTCCCGTAAAATTTGCGCCTGCCAGGTTTTTCTCGGTACGTTTCAATACTAACAACTAGCCGGTTACGGTAGGTTATCTACAGTAAAAGGAAAAGTTAGTCTCTAACCGATACTGCGTTTAGTTTTTTATTTGTTAAAGTAGCATAGTAACAAGATATCACCTTAAAAATTGATGCTTGCAGTTCCAAGGAAAATTTGACGACCTGGACAACAGCAAGGCTATGGTCGCATATTTTCGGCAGGGAACGGTAGACCCCTCTTTACCATGTGGCTTAACTTACAGTACCCAAATCGAGCCATGGAGTGGATGGCCTATTGGTGGGACTCTGCGAAGACCAGGACAGCAATGACGTGGGTTAAAATCAGGGCCGTAACAAACCCAAATTTCGGGGGGCGACCCCAAAAATTTTTTACTAATATGACTAAAACTACAGCGCCGCAGGCAAAATTTTTGAAAACATAGGGTTTATAACACTAAAACTAGTGTTAAAAACAGCCAAAAACAGCGCCGCAGACAAAAAATTTTTTGGAAAAATGAAATCATAAGGGTCCCCCCTTATGAACTTTTCGGCCTTCGGCCGATTTCGGGGCGGGGGGGGGGGCGGCTCCCCCCTTACCCCTCTTACGGGCCTGGTTAAAATAATCGATAGCTTGGTAAGAGTCTAGAAACCCCCCAGCCGGCAGCAACTTATGTATCTCGGCCCCCTTTTGTGCTAGCGAGCTCTAAAGTATACCAAAATGTTCGCCGTAGGCTAATTAGTAAGACTACATTGCAGTTCCGTCGAAAAAAGTAGCGAAAAATAAAAATAAGGAAGGTAGAAAAGTTGAAAAGTCGGCTGGGGGGGGGGTTTCCTAGACTTGAGCCGATAGCTTCGATAATTATCGATATTTTAGTGAATGGATCCGGGATTGGGTGGCTGATCACATGCTGCCGAGTGGATATGAACCCGCGTGGCCGCTTGAAGATTGGCGACGCAAGAAAATTGCCGTTTCTAATGAAACGCTGTGAACTAAAACCTTGTTATTGGATAAATCATTTTGTCACCGTCGCAACTACGAACTTTGATTATGCAACGAGAGGCTCGAGAGGCGCGGATGGATACCAGTCAGCCACAGCTACAACCTGGCGAGGGGGCGAGGGGCGTCCCACGCCGCAGAGGAGGGGAATGGCCTGTCACAGCACGGGCAGGCAGTGCGCGCGGTCGCTACGTCCATAGGGTGTACACGTTGGGACGAGTACACGGTCCCTCCCTGAACGTGCGCTTTAACGGCAAGATAGAGGCGCGTATCGTCAGCGCACGCAATCTGTTTTGCGAGGGAAAATTTTCCTGAATGTGCATGAAGTGCGTGAGGCTGAACAAGCGTTGAAGCTGTATGATTTTAGCAAAAGATGGATGCAAATGAAATGAATCTTTTTCGAATTAGTTTTGGTTTAAATAATCCGCGTTGCGTGTGCCAGCGGGTCCTCCTTGTCGTCGGCCGTTTTGTTGCTTGCGGGGTTTGCTTTGTTGCCTGAAATTAACATTGTAATTGTATTATGGATTTTACGGGAATAACGTGTCAGGCTTAAAGGGATAGCACGATACAGCAATAATTATACTGGTAGTCCTGATCGTCAGCTACGCGCAACTAAAGAATAATCTCCAAAGCACAATCTGATTCTCGTCCGAGCCGACTCGCAAAAGAATTGGATTCGCGTATCTGGTGATATGCACCTAATTGTTGGGAGTAGCCGGTTTTCTCCCTTCCTAGTCCTTTAAATCACAATTCGGTAACGCGCTCACCATCCCTCCTCGAACTCCTGGTAAAGGGGAGGAAAGCCAGAGTCGGAATAGAGCTGTCGGGAAACTGGCAGATTTGCCGGCTCCTTGATTTCCTTCTTCACCTTGGGGTAAGCGTCCACCAGAATCGACTGTAAGAATTTTTCGGTAAAATCTATTTGGCCTACGTGCAAGCGGCCGTCAGCAGCTTTTAGATCAACCAACAGTCGCTCTAATGCGTGCCTAAAAACCTTTTTACATCCATACAAAGTTCCTACTCAGCATCACCAAGCATTTCAGAATGAGCCGCCATCGCTTTGTCGCAAATTTCCGCTGATGCGCTGTCCTTCACCGCAGCCAGCTGCTTGTCAAGCTTCTAAAAAAACAACTCTGGGCGTTAGATCTTGCGTGCCTCTTGAATTTCATTGAACAAGTCCCGGATGCGATCGAGGTCCCTCTCGACGTTAAATTTTCCGAGTTGCTCCTTTTGGTGGGCGCCCAACGCGGTGGATCGGCAGCGGCACTAAAGCGAGCTCATGGAATTTGGAGCCGAATTTGCATACGAGAATCTCTAGCAGCTTGACTGGGGGTGCTTCGTTGCACATAAGATGGTTGTCAAGAAAGCATTCGCCGCACACTTGGAAGTTGTCCAGCTGGAAAAATAGCACGCTTGCAGCTGTGAAAATAGGCTAATGAAGCGCGTATTCCGGAAAGCAGTAGGCCAAAGCGTGAGAGTACGCCGAAGAGAGAGATACGGAGGGAAAGAGAGCAAGTGAAAGCGAGACAGAGAGACCGGAGCGGGAAGAGAGAGTCGGAGAGACAGCGAGAGCGAAAGAGAGAGAGGAGAGAGTACGCGAGAGAGATAGAGAGAGAGAGCGAGTGAGAGAGAGACGTAAATAGGAAATAGATGTTAACGTATCCAGAATTCGCTAAAAAATGTATACTTACGTGGCTCCGTAGTTGATCGAGGTCCAAGTCGAACGGCGCCTTGCCTTCGTTTTCCTCCTTGAAGTGCTTGACGCAAATCCGGAGCTTCTTTACGGGCAGCCCGATTTCTTTGCAGTCAGAGCACTGGAAAGTGGCCTCAGCCAGCCCGGGGTCCACCGTCTCACTGTACAACATTTATGCGAATTCGTTATTCCTGAAAATTCTATTTTCATTGTAGTACTGAAATTGGCAGACATTCACGATTTAGCAGGATATCTTAAAGGAGGCGAAGAAAATATCTGGAGAAACGGACCAAAACTTCAAACTTTCCGATTGAAATTGGGAACGCGAATCAGCTCACCGCACTGTGCCTCGGCAATAATAAAAATCTGTTGCAGCAGAAAATTTCCGCGTGACTCGCACGGCCACGGCACCCTGATAAAACCCCCGCTCGCCCTTTGCAAAAGTAGCCCCGTGCCGCGAATTTTCAAGCGTAAGACTTCGGACCCCGATTCACATACTCGAGCTCTGCAAATAGGACTTGGAGGCCAGTGGAAGGATTACCACATTATACAGTGTTTCCCAAAAAATTCCTTACCTAACGGTCCGCAGTCCTGCCCAATTTTTACGATTTATGCTATCTATCGAAAGCTCTCGGAAGGGCGTCTCGCCGATTTTCGAAATTCCGGAATTTCTTCGCTCGATTTTCGCCATCTTTCATGGTGGTCCGGCCATGTCGTGGAATTCCTGAATTTAGATGATGAAAACAGTAGACGAGCTTCTTCTTCTTCAAATCAAATTGCACCTTCTTGACGATCATAAATATGTGGTTTCAAAGGTATCAACTAATGGAATCACGCAGAAATAATAGTAACTGCCCAGATCACGACATTCCGTTAATTCTTGTTTAGCCACCTGCTGACCTACTTTTTTCAAAGTTTCCATAGCGCGTGAAGTGCACGTTAATGTGTTTTTTTTCAATGGAAAGTTTCTTTGCCGTTCTCTCTCTCTCTCTCTCTCTCTCTCTCTCTCTCTCTTTCTTTCTCCCTCACTCTCGCTCTCTTTTCCATCACCTCTGTATTACTTTATTTTCAAACTGTGATCTATGAATATTTTGTGTGGTTTTTTAACAAAAATAAACTTTTTGAGCATCATTCAATACTATGTTAAATTTATGCCCAAAATCAAGGACAGGCCCACAAGTTTAATCCTCAAATTCTAAAACCGCGTCTTCTATGGGCCATTCCCAGGCCATATCACGACAGCCGTCCTTCCGCCTGCGCAGCCCGGCCGTTCCCCTACCGCAGTTTTGCGCGATGAAAAACAGCACCACGTGCTTACGACAGTACCGTTGAACTGGGCCCTCAAACTAAAAAATATATTAGCTTAAAATGACTTTCCTTAAAGTTGATTTTCTATAAATACCACAGGCCTTCAGAATCTAGCGTACCGAACTGTCGCGGTGGATCTCCACATCATCGTTGGGTTGGGTGTTCTTCCGCAGCAGCTCGATCAGGCAGTCTGGAAGCCGGAATTCACACTGAAAATGGATGCATCTTGTGGAGGTTCTTTTTGCAGATCCCAGAAGGGCTACTTTGAAAACGCCGAAAATCGTCATGTCCAAATTTCATGAGGCCGAAAACCACATAACAAGTTAATTTAAATTTTAATTAACTTCAGTTAAATTTTCGGTTTTCGGCCTTTTTTAAAATTGTAAATATAGATTTAAAATTCGCAAGTTGCGAATTTTAAATCTCAAACGAAATCTCAGGATTTTGAAACACCACAAACAGGATCAAATTACCCAAAAAAACAACCTACCAATACGAAAAAGTATACATCTTAAAATTTCGATATTATGAAACTTAGACATTATGATCTTTCGATCTGGTTATAGAAATCTCCTGGAACTAACTTAAGAATCTTCAAAATTAAGGATTTCCAGGTAGAATAAAATTAACCCATCGGCCCTTTAATACACGTCAGCATACCTCGAGGATGGTTTGAGCTGTAAACTGGATTTCTACTGTCCGAATGGCGCCGTCAACGGGTCGACACTAAAAAAGTACCATTCGACTAAACTCGGGGGAGTCCCTACCGTAACGAGAGCGGCCTTACAGAATTCATACGCCAATGCCATCATTGTGGAAAGTGTGGAGCCTGGTCTCCAATCGAAGGTGAGCATGATATTCGGGATATGAGCGATCTGAGATAAACAGCGTATAGCGACGACTTATCCTTTATTGTTTTTGTTTTGCTTGTTGTTATTTTTAGAATTTTGACCTGTTCATAGCTAAACCAGCGCCTAAGACCCGCTTCGCGGGCCTTGGGCGCTGGAATGCGAGTTTTGCATATAGGTTTTTACTTTTCCATAGCTCCGGTTCGGCGGCACCCCTCCTCCTCCCGGCCGCACGCGCGTGAACTGGCCAGTATGAGGCAATTTGTATTTTCACGTGATGCAAATTACAATTTCACTTTGTAAATTTGTAGCTTAGGCTTTGGGCTTAGGTTTGGGTTTAGAGCCTAGGCTTAAGCTTAGTCTTACGCTCACAAATAGCCTTTCAAAAGCTAAACAGGCAGTTATCGAGCGATCTGGTCCAACCTGATTAAATAGTGGGCCGTACCGGCAAACTTCTGCCGGTATCATTCGGTCCGTCGGCATGTGAAGACTGATCTAGGCGACTCTTGCTATAAAGTATGCGTCTCTACACCTTACCGTATTGGGCGGTCTCGACAGTAGTCGCTCCTCTCGCAGCAGGTCCACATCGTTCGCATTTACTCCTCGGTAGGCCACGCCAATCGACCCGCGCGTGACATTCAGTTCGGCGCGGTAAGCGCGGGCGCACTGCAACAAAATCAAAAACTAAATCCTTTTTAATTAACATTCGCATGTTTGAGAACTTTCACTCGGTCGCTGCCGTTTTGTCGGATAGTGTTATTAATCGTGCAAGATAAAAAAACTGTTCCGAAATCCGGAAAGGGAAGTGGTCGTGGCCTCCCCTCCGTACGAACACCCCTCCCCCCCCCCGTTAGAGAACTAGATCCAGAAACGGCGCTTTTTAGAGCATTGACACTATTTTCACTAGCCCACCGCTATAGCGTAGCTTGGAAAGAAATCGACATGGAGTAGCGGCATCAAATTTGTCAAGCGATTGAAGAAGGCGTACTGTGAAACCGGGTCCCCACTCAGGGTTTTTTCGGCTTCATATTTGATTGGTGTTCGGTTCATGTCCAGACTAAAAAGAAGTAACAAAAGGTTAAGCTAAGCCGTCACGAACTCACCGAAAAAACACAACGAGGCTCATCGGGAGCTCTGGGC